CTGGGTTGCGGGCTATTTTCCGTGGTGTTCATTGGTAAGCGCGGCGACGATGTGTGTGTGTGTGGCAGCAGGCAGTTGGTGGCAGCCGGTGAGCGAGGGGTTGATGGGAGGTTTGTAGGTGGTGTATGTGCGTGCGAAGTGGTATGGGCGTCTTGTTTGTGTTGTAGGATAGGGTCTCGGGGCGTACATCGCGCAGGCAACTTGTTCATGCGACCTATGTGCTCAGTTTGTGGTTTAGAGCTCCATCATCTGATCAACTCGTCGCACACAACAGCCGCTCCATCAACATGCAGCCGGTACGCACTCGTCTTGATGCACCGGCATTGTTTGTGATTCAGTTGCCTTCTCTGCTGCAACTCATCTCCTTTGCACTCTGCCAATATCATACAATATGCTACCCCCCTTTTTCGGATGGCGGCTCCTTTGCAGAGGTTAGTACCTCCCTTCTCCTCCCTTTTTTTTTTCTTTCGCTTGCTTCTGCCAAAGAGATGCCCGTGGTGACTGATGTCAGCCTGATGTGGTGCTTGGACATGATCTCACAGCAAACGTGTCAAGCATGACGCTCCCGTCGTCTTTAAGGAGCTTGATGTGGAACGTGCGTTGTCCATGACATGACACAGGCGTTCAGCTTTGCCCCAACAAGCGCCCATTTCGTGGGCCTGTTCTGCGCTTTGTATTCCCTCTGGCTCTTCTTGAGTCGTCACGTTCGAGTTCTCATCTGTCGTCATGTGCTCGTAGAGGAGTTTGCGGTCCTGGAAAACACCAGTGACGAGCCCTTCTCACTCGAAGGTGCGGCCATGTTCCAAATGGCTGTGAAGCAGTATATTTCACGGGGGCTCACAGATAACCGCCGTGTCTTTCGCAGGCTGTTACATTGCAGATATCATCGGCCATCACAAGAGTCGGCCCTTTGGTAGCCAGGCTGTGGTTGAGCCACATGATCAGGTTACCATTTGGACCGCACCTGGACGGGTTGGTCCCAAGGGGTTGGAGGAAGATGCCCATAACATCTTCTGGAAGAACTTGTCCAACAACAAACCACGCGCTCAGCCCGTGCTTAACAACTCTGGCGACGGCGTCAATCTTCTCAACGCCAAGGGTGACATCATTGCCAGCATTGCAGTCGAGGAACCTGGCGCCGCAGCGACATCCAAAGGCCAACCTGCCGGCGCCACCGATTCCGCCAGCAATGTGGTCGTAGAAACCTCGACGGAGGTTGTGGATCTCAGCGCTGTTCCCCGCCCTCGAACCCCAACGCGTTCCATTTCGACTGGCTCGTACGTAGAATTACACCGCCCGCTTCCGCGCTTTGATGACGGTTCTTTATCAAGTGCTATTTTGGCTCGCCTGAGTTTTGATCTCGCGCGCATGTCCAAGATTTTGCCTCACACAGTACGTGCCTGAACATAGATTGGGCCGGATGCGAGCCGCTGCCGCCTTTTCCACCCCAGTTGCAGCGGCTGGTCGACTGAACAATTCGTCCCTGGAAAATCGTGCTATTGATGACGTATGCTTTGCCTGTCTGTCTCGCTTGCCCTTTTTGCTTCGACGCCAGCGCACAACCAACTAACTCAATTCTTGGTCCTGATCGGCAGCCCTATGTCCGTCAGCTGTGGTTGGAGATGCTTGGTAAGATGGAAGCAGCCGAAACGCAGACTCTCAAGTCGCTCGCAGAGTTTGCCGCAGCCACCGAGGCGGCCACCGCGTAGATAGAGCGTTGGTCCGTGCTTCCTGTTTGTCCTTTTTTTTTTTTTTTTCGCTCTGTTCCGGCTCTCACCGAGTCGATCCAAAGGCTCCTGTCAATTCATCGTCTTCGTACATAAAACTATGACCCCATGTATAGCCAACCAAGATTGAACAGGGATGTCCTTGTCAAGCCAAATAACATCATCCCTTCCAGCCAACCGACCAGCCACAATGGAAAGCGAGAAAGGCATTGAGAGCACAAAGGGCACAGAGAGAGAGAGAGAGAGAGAGAGAGAGAGAGAGAGAGAGAGAGAGAGAGAGAGAGAGAGAGAGAGAGAGACAGAGAGAGACAGAGAGACAGAGACAGAGAGAGAGAGAGAGAGAGACAGAGAGAGAGAGAGAGAGAGAGAGAGAGAGAGAGAGAGAGAGAGAGAGAGAGAGAGACAGAGAGAGACAGAGAGAGACAGAGAGACAGAGACAGAGAGAGATTGAGAGAGAGGAGAGATGAATTGGTTCGAGAACGAGAAAGGTATAAACAGCAAAAATACATGTAGTACAACTACCACAAAGAGAGAGAGGAAAGTGTTACGAGAATTATCAGCATGGGAGAAGAGGGGAATTGGTTGCGGTGACACGATGAGCTTTGCCCGGCGACGAGGACCCGTTCGCCTGCCCTTCCCTTGCCTCAACGGGGATGGTCGGTGCATCCCAACGGCTGCTTGATCCTTCTGCTGCGGTTGTCCATGGGAGTAGCTGACGAGGCCATCAACCGCCAACAATAAAGCAAAAGCTGCGCTTTGCTCTTGTTGGCTAGGGAACCGCTGTTCAAGCCCCTTGCGAGTGCTGCATCGCCGGGCCAACCAAGCACGTTGGGCTTTGATCCCGTCGAGTCCAAGAGGGATGAGACTCTGCCTTGTTGGGCATTTTCCATCCTTCGCGCCGCCATCACCGCTGATCCTTGTCCTCGTTCGCCGTCATGCACGCCCTCTTCGTACTGGCTGCTGCCGTTTGGGGTAAGACTAGACCACGCAGCAGCTTGATGCAGCATGCTCAAACGCTTGAACATGCTTGCCCATCCCATCTCATCTCGTCGTTGCGCTACTTCAAACGCCTGCTTCTCTTTGAACAAAGCCGCACAGGCCACCGTCACCACACAGCGGCCCAACCCAAACAACGTCATTCTTGGCGTTCGCGTTGATCGGGACGAAGTCTTGCGTGTACGTCACACCGTCTCCTCAAAACAAACTCAACTTTGGTGCTGCGCACAGTGAGCCGTGCCACTGGCAACTTGAAGCTGACCAGCCAACGCAGTCTGGTTGCATGCCGCACGCTCGTGCCACCCCTACCCACACCAAATTAATCATTACGTCTTGTGCATGGCCCACCTCCGTCGTGTCCATAGCTGGCGCGTGTGGCAAGAGGTGATGATCCTGATCAATGCCTTTCCCTTGTAGATTCAGACACGGTAAGATTCGTATAACCGGGTGTGAGAACTGCAATGGAAGGCCGAATGGCCACAGACCCAGGTTCAACTTCCGCCTTGCATGCATCCACGTCTCTGCGTGAATAGGGATTCAAACTCAAGTCAAGCGAAGGTCTATCGGGTGTCAGCCTCAGCGCGTGCCCCGGCGGCCGGGACTGTGCACGCCTCTCGCGCTGTGATTCAGAGTTTCCCAACATCTGCTTCGACGCGCAAGAGTGCTTTGATCCCATCGGCAAGAAACGCTGCACCACCTTTGAGCCCTGTCAGTGCTTGATGGGCAACTTTTCCACCGTCTTTACCGATAACGGCTTTCGCTTCTTCCCAGCCGCCGCTCCCTTTGATGCCAAGGAGTTTGACGCGGTGACCGAGCGTCCGGACATCATCATCAAACGTGATTACTGCGTGGATGGCACCTTCAACATGCGAGCCTGTGAGCCTCTGGAGATGGGCTGCGAGTCAATTGTGCCCTGCCTGAAATCGGATGTGCGGGCTTGTCAGAGCTTGGTGCCGGGCATGTAACCTCAAGATCATGTCTTGCCCCATGCAACCCGAGCTTGGTCATCATAATATTATTACCACTTGTCTCCTGGTATTCTGCCATTCATGTTCATGTTTTCAAAAGAATACTTCGATTGGGTGTTGATGAAGTCTGGTCTTGTGTGGTCTGTTGTCCGTAGCCAGCCAGGTGCAAAGTTGATGTGCTTGTTGCCTTTGCAAGACGAATTTGATGCTCCATTGAAGCGCAGCAACTCCCCCAAATACCCATGCATTCGCTCCTGTCACAACATGCTGGCAAACTTGCACACCCTTGTCGTGCTGAGCTCCAAAGTCGTTGTCGTCCCATTGCCCTTTTCCGGCACATGACAAACTAAAAGCATCGTTCAGGAGCGAGTATCAAGCAGACGAGTGGCAAAAGCCGATTGCGCAGACAACAGGGCTGGCCAGCCCTCTGTCGCACTCGTGCCCTTGAGCTCAAACAGCGCACGACCCGTCGCCACAATGCAGCCGGGATGAGACATGTCGTGCTGCTCTATGGCCGGCACCGTCGTCGGTCGATTCAACGGCGCACTACTTGCGAGTAAGCACCGATCCAGCGGCAAATCTGCTAAAAGGCGCTGCATTCAAGCCCACGCAGCCAGCAAGTGAGCCCGAGCTGGACACAGGGTATGAAAACTGTTGGGCAACCTGTTGAGCATGGGTGGATGGGATGGCATCGGACAAAAGATCCTACCCGATAGGCATCGGTGGTGCGCGCAAATGTCAAGCCGCCATCAAAGCTCTGGAATAATCCCGGTCGCTTGCTTCGCAGGCTGCAATGTCGCAGACGATGAGCACAGTGTGAAGCCGTGAGCAAGATGCCTCAGATGTCAAAAGAATGGGCTAGTATGGGCCAAAAACAAAGATTTTGCGTCGTACCGAAATATCCAGTCGGGGTCTGCACAGTAGTTGTGCAAAATGATGGGGTGGGCAGGGTCTGGAACGTGCTTGTCCAGGGCTGCCAGGGCCAGAGCCTCAGCGCCTGCAGCCACGGTGACAATGATGCCTCGCCGCAGCTGGACCGCTAGCTGTAATTGCGCACAAAAGGCTTGCACCTGCGCCTTGGTGCGAGCCTCGTCGCTCTTGGGCGTATCCAAGCCCACGACACCCACAAAATAACATGCATCCGATGCAATGTAGTCACGTATCCGCTGCCCCGTCTCATCTCCCCACAGGTTGGCCGACCGTGGTCCGAGACCAAAAGCAGCCATAGTGCGAGGAAGCACCGGTTCTGCCGGTGGGTCATCCAGGGTAGTGCCAGTGAGCTGCTCGCCCAGGGAAGCTTCGGCCGAGGTTGCTTCCATCGTTGACCAAAGGCTACTGGCAGCTGCTCCACGCGTGGCATCCTCAGAATTTGCATCAGAACAACCATCCTGCTTGACGTCTGGCAGACCATGCTCCCCCACCATTGCGGCCACCTCTGGAGCTGGCACAGCCAAAGCTGTGGGGGGGTCTGCTTGCGGTGGGGTGTGAGCATCACCTTCCCAGGCGCGGTACAAGGGCGAGCCTTGGGCTGGGAGTAGCTCGGCAGGGTCATTGTAGACCAGGACCAGTGGACCTAGCCTACCTTCTTGCGTGGGCAATTGGGTAGCACACATTTCATAGAGACTGCTCATGTCCTTGACCTTGGCCGCCTGCAGCAGGGCGGCGGGTCGCACAAGCCAGTCCATCAGGCCGAGGCGGCTCTCTGCACGGGTCCAGAGCGGAGGTACTTCGGCGGCTTGCGCCTGGAGACCAGCACGAGCTTGGCGAATATGGGCTGGCATCTTGGAAAACTTGCCCTTGTACTTGCTCTGCCCGGATCCGCCATCATCCACTCCAGGACATTCCCGGCGCGTGTGCCCACGCTGGCCACAGACGTAGCACTTGCGCGAGGCCTTGGATTTGGCTCGTTTGACCGGGCACTGCTGAGTTTGATGGTCTGCTGCCCCACAATTGAAGCACGCTCCACCTAATTAAAGCAGAGACATGGATTATTGGCCACGCCGCGAGTCCATGCCAGGTGCCAGGTGCCAGGTGCCAGGTGCCAGGTGCCAGGGGCCAGGTGCCAGGGGCCAGGTGCGTGTGGGGAATGAGCTACTGCCATCACACCAGTGACACACAGTACTTTGCCGGCCATAGCCCCTGCACGGCCCCTGCAACGATGCAAGCAATACAATTCCAACTTGCCTGCAGTGTTCTTGTGCGTCTCTGGACCACTGCCACCCGAGTCTGAATCATTGGAATCATCACCCCCATGGCCTCGACGTCGGTGACCCCCTTTCTTCCGCGCCATCCTGTCCCTTCGCTCCCTCGTCCGCAAACGCCAAGAAGCAGACAGAACCAGAGAAAGAAGGAAAGAAGAAGAAAAAGTTAAAAAAACAAACAAAAAAACAGGGCAGGGCCAACGCGTATTAGACCCCTGGCACCACGACCACTGTCCACAATAAGCCCCTATCGCTCCTCTCAGCCCAGCAAGACCTGCCAGCCCACCCGAGCCACCACTACTTGAAACTTGCTCCCAAAAAATTTTTTTAAAAAAAATGAAAAAATCACAACAACTGCTCCGTCCACGGCTCCTTTTGTCTGACATATATGAGTTATCGGTGTGAAAAATCGAGTTTATGCAGACATGTTAACATCTTTAACGATACTTTACAGCGTAAATTGCATCGTTAGTGTCACGAGCAGCTGCGCAGCTGCGGGTGCAAAAGTGTGATATAAGTAACACTATCGCATAGCGGAAACCCTTCTGCCGTTTACGTGTGCCAAGGTGCGAAACGGCAGTCGGACCATCGCAACGGAACGGAACGGAACGGAACGGAACGGAACGGTACAGTACGGTACGGCGGTGACGGGCACTGGACATCAGTGGCGGTGTAGTGGCTGGTATCCGTTTCTGGAGTCATCAGGTACGCGTGTTCTGTCAGGGTGTTGGAGCTGGACATGTGCGGCAACGTGCCTTGCTTGGGCTGCAACTTTCTGTCGCTTGCGATGGCGCACGTCTCCCGCATTTTTCTCAAGCCTCACTTGCTGGGGCATGCCTCGCGGTATAGTTCTCAGCTGTCGCGATCAAGCCAGCTGATCAAGCAGCTAACACGTCTGTCATCTGACACTCCCTCCTTGCCTCCTGTTTCAACTCGGCCGCACTCTCGACGGAGCCTTTTTAAAAGACGGCTTGCTCCCCACCTCCTCCGTTTGCGCCCACCCATGGATCAGCCCTTGGCTCATCTGGACAGCCGTTGGTGACGCCTGCCGCCCATCGGGTGTACTATATACCTGCCTACCGCTCTCGAGGTCTGCTGTCTGGCACTTTAGCTCAGAATCATGGCGCGTGCTGGCTTTGGCAGCCAGCTACGGACCCTTCTCTGGAAAAACTACCTCCTCAAGCGACGTAGCTGGCGTGGCACCTTGGCTGAAATCCTTGTGCCTCTCTTTCTCTTTGTTCTCATGGCTTGGGTCCGCACCCGTGAAACAGTGACCCTCTACCCTGATAGTAAGCCCCGCCTCCCTTGTGCCCCAGCCTTGTGCCCCAACCCGCGGGCGTCGTTGTCTCACGCCCGCCCGATCCTCTTGCCCAGCTACATATAACACGCTGGCTTTGCCCTCCTCGGGCGCGCTGGCACTGGTTCAATCCATTCTTTGTGGTGGCATTGCCAACTTTGACTCGCCAAATGCCACCGGCAGTCCCTTGGAAGACGTGGCTGCCGTCCTTGACCGTTACCAGCTGACCCCAGAGGTGGTTCTGGGGGCCTTGGCCAACACGGCCCTCGATGAGGCCGATCTCAACCAAACTTTGCGCGAAGTGGGCTTGATCAACACTTCCGTGGGCCTAGCAGATCTGACGGACCTATGGTTCGGCACGAATGCGACTTACTGGGATGGCTTGTACAATCTCTCACAGTCTGCCTCTGGCAATGATACCCAAGCTGTCGTCAACGCCGTTTGTCGGCTCGTCAACGATCCAGATTTGGCTGCTCTGGTGGCCAACCTCACTCAGACCAACCTAACAGCCGTGGCTGATGATATTCAGCTTCCCGGATTTGATTTGGGCGCCATTCTGCGCAGCCCAGACCCCGCAGAAGAATTCTTGCGTCAATATGTCACCACCAACAACTTTATCAATGTAACTGTTGTCGATGTGCTGCATGCCCTCAATGGTACGCTCAACGGCACAATCACCCCAGAAGATGTCGCGATTGTTCAAAATCAACTCCGTGCCGACGCTGCAAATCACAGCTCGCTGGCCGAGATGCGCAGTAATCTCCTCATCGCCCTTGCGCGGGAGCCAGCGTTGGAGCGTGCCTTGGTTGCGGTGCTACTTGGGCTTGAAGACCCAGCCGAGCGACAGGCCGTTCTCGATGCCTTGGCGCAAGCATCTGGCACCAACATCAGCACCTCTATGGTCCCTGTCCTGCTCGATGAGTTTGCCCGTCTCGAGGCAGATCTTGGAGATCTGTCGCGCATCGAGGCTGCGCTCCAAGATATCGAAGCCTTGCCAACGATTGATCGGCTTTTGGACGATTTGCAACGGAATGGCAGCAACTTGGATTGGTCAACGCTCTATCAGCAAATTGCATGCCCCAATACCGACGGTATTGCGGTGGGTGGATCCTTCAGTTTTCGTTCCCAAGGTTCGGGTTACGAACCCAATGCTGCCACCAATGAACCCCGCCCCACGAACGCCCCACGTGTTGCCGAGAGGACTCGTTCCTCGTCCAGCGGTGAACCATCGAACCCATCTCGACGCCGCCGGGCTTCTGAACCCACAATGGCTCATGACCGCGAAGACACCTCAAGCCAGGATGTCGAAGACGAGGTTACGGTTGGGCTGGATGCCATGGCCAACAGCGAACAGCTTTTGGAGCTCTTCACTCAAGCGCAAGTCTATTACGCGCCAGCCCGCGGCCAAGTCCTCGAGGTCATCGGGTAAGTCTGGTCTGAGGGGTTATCCTTATCAAGCCTTTGTGAAGGACCGACATGGCTCCTACCCTTTGTGCCGATACTTTTCTGCTGTCCTTGTTTGCGCCTGTACGCTGTCACGCCTTTCTGTTGGCTTACACATTGCTTCGGATTGATTCCTAGATTGGCAAACGCCACACTTCAGCAGGCTGTTGCCGTTGTGGACTTGGTCGAGTGTGTGCTGGCCTCCAGGCTGGCAGCAAATATCACAGCCAGTCCTGCCAATTTCACCTGGCTAGACAATCTCACCAGCTCTGCCAACTCTTCAGCTCTTGCGGCTCTTCAGCTTGACGACTTTTGGGTTGGCTTCGACACCGAAGAGGAGCTTGTGGCTGCCGCCATGGGTGACGACAAGCTTTTTACTGTCTTTGGCGGCGTTGTCTTTCACGATGTGGATGACACTGGTCGGCTTCCCAACAATCTCTCGCTGTCCATCCGATTTCACCAGCTGAAAACACCGTCTACCGCTGAGCTGGCCCCGGCCTACACTTGGAACAACGCAGGCGACACCGCCAATGCGCTCTATTACTACCTTGGGTTTACCATTATACAGGACCTCATGGAACGGGCTACTCTCGAGTTTTGGGCCGGTGAAAGCGTTGGCGAACCTGCTGTTTATGCTCAAATGATGCCCGTCCCGGCCTACCGAGATGACCTCTTTGCGTGGGGCATCAGCCGCACCCTGCCCCTCTTCATGGTGCTGTGTAAGTCAGCAGCGTCTTGTCTTCTCCCAGACATAACGTTCTTTTGATGTTCCGATTGACACCTTTTGTTGGGCGCCATTGTCTGCAGCCTGGATTTACTTTGTGACCATGCTGGCCAAAAACATCGTGCACGAGAAAGAAACGAGGCTGAAGGAATATACGAAAATGATGGGTGCGTGAGCGTCCCTTCTCCTCATCCTCACAACAGACTATGATATTGTCGGCAAAGCATGTTTTGACCTTTCTGATGATTCATCGCTTCTTAGGTCTATCCGAGCTGGTTCACTGGGTCGGCTGGTTTTTGTCTTCCTTGGTCGTGCTCACCGTCACTTGTTTCCTGATGACTGTGGTTCTGGTGGGTGGCAACGTGTTTGCCTTTTCAGATCCCCTCCTCATTTTTGTCTACCTGGAGATTTCTGCCATCGCATCCATCATGGTGGCCTTTATCATCTCCACGCTTTTTTCCAAAGCGCGCATCGCTGCGGCCGTGGGTGGCATGATCTGTGCGTTTACCCACACCACCATCCGCTCCTACCAAGTGCCCGCGGCGCTTCTGCTTCTTCATCTTCATCATGTTGTTCTTTTTCTTGTTCTTCTTCTTGTTTGATCTCATTGTTGTGTTTTTTTTTGGCTTTTTAGATTTTGGAACTTACATGCCGTACGTGTTCGTGTCAATCCAAGAGGAGACGATGACGGCAGGTACCAAGTGGGGGCTGTCACTCTTTTCCACCACTGCCTTTGGTATGGGTGCTGCCTACATTGCCCGATATGAGGAGATTGGCGAAGGATTGCAATGGCATAATATGGGCCAAGGAATCGGAGCGTGCGACAACTTCACCTTCAGTAACGCCCTGATCATGATGATCTTTGATTGCTTCCTCTATGCGTTGCTGGTTTGGTACTTGGAGCAAGTCCTGACCCCGTATGGTGTGGCGCAACCTTGGTATTTTCCATTTCAACGCAAGTACTGGACTGGCCTTGCGTGTTTCAGCTCGCGCCGTGCTTCGGCGGAAGGGCAATCGTTGATTGCCGGCAAAGGCTCGCCCGCTCTTCAGCAAAATAACCCTGCTGGTCATTTTCAAGCCGTGCCAGATGGCCAGCAAGTTGGCATACGCTTGGACAAGCTGACCAAAGTGTACAGGACGGGGGCGTGCTCAGATCAGTCAGAACGTGTTGCCGTGGACCAGTTGAGCTTTGAAATGGCCACCCCGGGTATCACGGCCCTTTTGGGTCACAACGGCGCGGGCAAGACAACGACCATGTCAATCCTTACTGGTCTCTTCCCACCCACCTCGGGTACTGCATATATTGATGGTCTTGACGTGCGTACCCAGATGGGTACCATTCGTGAACACTTGGGTAGGGCCATGCTCCTGCTTCTGTCGTCCCCCATTTGACCGCTATCACACGTGTGCTGCCCCCATCTCTCTCTTCCTCTCCCTCTGTTTGTTTTTCTTTTCTTTCTTTTTTTTTTCTCATCTGGCGGTGCCCTTGTCCCTTTTCCCTTTTGCTACTAGGTGTGTGCCCACAGTACAACGTTATTTTTGAGACCTTAACGGTCGAAGAGAATTTAATAATGGTAGCACGGCTGCGTTGCCTGTCACCTACTGCGACCCTGGAGGCTGTCGATCGATATATCAATGACGTGCGACTGAACAGCAAGCGTTTCAGCTTGGCGGGCACACTATCCGGAGGGCAAAAGCGCAAGCTGAGCGTGGCCATGGCCTTTCTGTCAGGATCAAACGTGGTTATTCTTGGTGCGTCGTCTGCTAGAGCATCTGACTTTTCTCTGCGTCCCCTGTTCCCGATGACTCTTCTGAGGGCGGTTCCCTTTATTGCAAAACACCCGTGATGGCAATTAGCGTGGGCTTCACTCTCCATTTTTTTTCGCCATCTCACCCCTCGTTTTATTTGCTGCAACCTCTTGCGCGTTTTCTTTCCACGAGCAGATGAACCAACGGCGGGTTGCGACGCGTCAGTTCGCCGTTCCATGTGGGATCTGCTACTGCGTTATAAAAAGGAGCGCACCATTCTGTTGTGTACGCATCATCTGGATGAAGCAGACTTGCTGTCAGATGCTATCGCCATTATGGCGCATGGTCGATTACAGTGCTTGGGCACCTCCATGTTTCTGAAGAAGGCGTACAACGCAACATACCTCCTGTCGGCCGTTGTCGATCGCACACTTCCCGATGTTGTTCCTCGCATCTCTCAAGTCATCCGCAAACACGTGCCCAAGGCCGAGCTAGCCGATGATGTTGGTCAAGAGGTGGCTTTTCATCTGCCAGTGGATCAGGTCGCGGGCTTTGCACCTTTGTTTTGCAGCCTAGACGCACAGCGCGCAGAACTAGGCATTGAAAGTTACGGCCTCTCCGCCACCACCCTGGAGGATGTATTTTTGCGTGTGGCTGAGGATGCTGAAGAATCCGAAGAGCGTACGACAAGGCCGGCAACTATGGCTGCGGCAGTCAAGCCCGAGCGCAGCGAGACGGCTGCGCAGAGCGTCGACGCACGCCTCTCTTGGAGCAGTGGCATGGACGCATCCCTCGAGCATTCTCTTCTTAGCCAGCACGATGATGAGGAAGCTGAACACGGCGCGCTAGTCCAGGAGGACGGTACTTATACGGGCCGTCTCTTGCAAGGATGGCCTCTGCGTGCGCAGCGCTTCAAAGCTGTGCTGCTCAAGCGCTGGCACAATGTGCGACGTGATTTCAAGGCCTTTCTATCTCAGATTGTCTTGCCTGCCATTTTTATTTGTGTTGGCATGGCCGTGGCAACCTCCTTCCCCCCACCCAAGGACGGACCCCCCCTTGAGTTTGCGCCAGACATTTTCAACGTACCTTGTCACGCTAGCTTGCGCGCTACTGAGACGCCTTATGCGGATCTGCATGCTTCGCCTTCGCTGCTCTCCAGCACGCTCACGGCCAGTGTTTCGGTGGGATTTGATCCCGACTATTTCATTGATGTTGGAGGGACCGATGCGTTGCTTGTGGCCCAGCAAAACTTTTCAGCTTACATCTTGGACACCTACGACGAGCTGCAGGCGACGCGCCGTGCGGCTCTGACGATTGAATCTACTGAGCATCCAGTCGTTCAGCTGTCCAGTGCACTCTTGAGTGGTGCTTTCAATAGCACGGTCATGCGCGGTACGGTGCACACGGCTTTGCTAGCCCGCTGCTTGCGCACCCCCCCCCCCCCCCCCCAAAAAAAAAAAAACCTTTTTTTTTTTCCATCCATCTACCGGACACTCACCTTTGTTGTTCAACTACTACAGGTTGGTTTGATAACCGGCATTACCACAGCCTGCCAACTGCCGTACATTTGGCCCACAATGCAATTTTGCACAGCACGCTCGGAAGTACACACAATCTGCGCGTGTTCAATCACCCTCTCAACTCGACTGCAGACGAGAAGACACAGGAATATCTCGAGTCTGGCACTGATCTTACCGTGGCCATCAACGTCATCATGGCTCTATCCTTTGTTCCAGCCAGCTTTGTCGTTTTTTTGATTTCTGAGCGTGTGTCCAAGGCAAAACATTTGCAGGTGCGTTTCTCAAAGCGGGGCAACAGTCTGCTGTGTGCCGTCTGTCCGGTTTCTCTTTTTACTCTATCATTGACTGCTTGGATTAGCTTGACGTCATGCATGCTCTTTTATTCGTTCCTACAATTCGCCAGATGGTCTCGGGGCTAGATCTCCCCACCTACTGGGTTGCCAATTTTACTTGGGACATGCTCAACTATACCCTGCCAGCGCTCGTGGCGCTGCTCATCTTTGTCGCCTTTGATCTCCCTGCATACACTGGGCGTAACTTGGGAGCCGTCACGGCACTTTTGTTTCTATAGTACGACTTGCTCACTTTGCTGACAGTGACTGTCATTGCATGCACACAACTCACGGGCCACATATGTGCATGTGCTTCCGACTACGAGTACAGCGGGTGGAGCATCACGCCCATCATGTACCTCGGAAGCTTTCTGTTCAAAGTACCATCGACAGGTTACGTCGTTCTCATCTGCGTCAATTTGTTCATTGGTAAGCGCGCCTGAACGTTCGTCGTGTTCATGAAGCACACCTCGATCGGTCAATTGCTTCTTGTCACGGCTGCGAGATGCATGGGCGCTTGGTCGCGTGGGGCGGTGGGTACGGTTGGATGGTTGCCTTGGGACCGCTCAGCTTGTTGCTTCTGCTACAGGGTTGACTGCCACCCTGGCCACCTTTATTTTGGGACTTTTCCCGGACGATCCTGGTCTGACATCGGTCAACGACAGCTTGAAATGGGTCTTTTTGATATTTCCCAACTACTGCCTGGGTCGCGGGTTCGTTCTTGGTGCCGTTCCGCTGCACCGCCGCTCTCTTTCCGGCGCGCTGTTTGAAACGTGGTTTGCCTTTTCTTATTTTTGTCGCCTTGCTCGCGGTGCTTAGAATGATGGACTTGGCGGCCAACGAGTATATTGCACAGTTTTACGAGTACAGCAAAGAGTTTATTGACAACGCGCCATCGTATCAGGTTCGTCTAGATTGGAGAAGATATCGAGTAGCAGAGCAGGAAGCACAGACCATCTCATCTGCGATTCCACTTCAGGACCCCTTTTCCATGTCCTTGATTGGACGGAACTGCATGTTTATGGTGTTGGAGGGCTTGATCTTTCTCGTTCTGACTATTGCCATTGAGCACTGGCGCATGCGTCAACGACTGCGCCAGTCGGATAGCAGTGCCTCGACGCCCAGCAATGAGGTAGGACGACCAAAGTCTCGTGGGTATTTGTCGAGGCTGGCAATCAAGCTTTCGACTTCACCACCTCATCATTTGCTCATACCGTGCTTGCGTTGACTCGGCCAATAGCTGGAAATGCTCAGCGTGGGCTTGGCAGGAGAAATGACGGATCCTAGTGATCTCGGAGATGAGGATGTTCGTCGGGAGCAGGAGCGAGTGCGAGCGGGTGGCACAGAACTGGTGTCAGAAGCAGTGCTGGTAGCAGATCGGCTCGTCAAGACCTACACGGGCAAGAACGGGACGACGCGAGCCGTGCGAGGCTTGAGCTTTGTGGTGCCCCGGGGCCAGTGCTTTGGCCTGCTAGGTACAGCGATTATTGACAGAGTGTGCCAGCCAAGTTGCTGTTTGCGTGGCGTCAAAAGGGGGTGCAGGACAATCTCATTTGCTTTGACGTTGGTAGGCACAAACGGCGCAGGCAAGACGACCACTTTTAAAATGATCACTGGAGACGTGGCCTGTACTTCAGGAAACGCCTTTGTGGCTGGCCATTCCATTCTCAAGGACATGGCGGCGGTATGTATGCACGTGGCCTCGACTTGACGAGCGTGGCACATGCTGCAAAATTTGCCCTGTGGCCAATCCACGTCTCACGGGTCGATGGACCATCACATCTTGCTTCTGATTTTCGTCGCTAACAAGAGCGGGTTGCCATGTATTTGTGGCGGCGGCGGTGTACACTGATAGGTGCGCCAGCACGAGGGGTACTGTCCCCAGGAAGTGGATGCGCTCAACGGGCTGCTGACGGGCCAGGAAACGTTGGAGATGTATTGTCGGCTGCGAGGCATTCCCGAGTCCCAGCTGGGGGTGGTAGTCGATTGGTCAATTCGCAAGATGCAGCTTCGTCGCTGGGCCAAACGCATTGCACAAGTAGGTCCATCGTGCTCTTGTGGCTGCGACCCAATGCCCGTCGCGTCGGATGCGAGGCGCTGGAAAACAAGCGACGATGATTGAGGCTCATGTGCACATAATTAAAGGTCTATTCTGGTGGCAACAAACGCAAGCTAAGCATCGCCATTGCCCTATTGGGCCAAAGCTCGCTGGTGTGCTTGGACGGTGAGTTGCGTGCTGCTTATGGTGTCTTGTTTGATAACGCTCATATCCCGTCTGCTGTGCTTGCACACACGAGCAGAGCCTTCTGCGGGCCTTGATCCACGAGCCCGGCGGTTTCTGTGGACCCAGATCAACGGCGTTGTGCGCGCGGGGCGTTCGGTCATTCTGACCAGCCACGCCATGGATGAATGTCAAGCGTTATGCCAACGCCTTGGAATCATGGTTGATGGGCAGTTTCGTTGTTTGGGCAGCCCGCAACATCTCAAGAGCAAGTATGGCAATGGATACACATTGGCGATCAAGGTACTGCGAGAACCACCTAGCGCAGGCTTGCGCGCGTCTCTTGATGGCCATGACCTCCTCACAGCGTCAGGCGGGCTTCGCCTTTTTTTTTCTCTTTCGAGTGCCTTCTTCTTCTCTCACTTTGATTCTTCCATATGGGCTTAGGTTCAAGGGTTTCCACCCGAGGTCGGACCTGCCAAAAGTTTTGTAGCCCACCGATTTCCCACCGCGGTACTCAAAGAGGCACACAATGGATTGTTGCGCTATCAGCTGCCTACAGAGGGCTTGGTGCTGGCCACCATTTTTACAGAACTTGAGGCACAACGCGAGGCCTTGAATCTCGAGGATTATGCCATCACACAAACGACTTTAGAGGACATATTCTGCAGCTTTGCAGACCTGGCAGAAGATCGTCGCACTGCCCAGCCAGGGGACGATCAGCCAAGCTCTTCGGCTCCTTGGCAGGCTCAGGAGGAACATCGGTCTAGCCTCATCCCTGCCACGGATGAGGTTTTCGACGAACCATCAACGGCTCTGGTCACTCCTGACAGTTTGGGTGGGGATCAACCGCACGTTTCGGTGCTTGACGGTCTGGCAGCTGCCGAGGCAGCAGACTCGGATCCAAGCGCCGTGGATGCTGGTTATCTAACCATTTATGGCGAGGAAAGTCACAGTCGCGTTTAAGCGCAGCTGCCCCCTTACCGCATCCTGCTCAGGCTTCAGGGCCTCCTCTTACGACGGTGTACTATTTTTGGCATGTTTTGAGGGTTGAGTGATGAAATGGTAACTTGCGATGAAGCCCAGGTCGTGGCACAGCCTCATGCATTGGCGACTGCCAATCCATCATGACTATTTTGATAGAATTCATAATATAGCATACAACATCTCAGGCACCCTGGTTGCGATTTTCCTTGCCAAACCCTTTGTACCACACGCAAACTTGTGTCTGCTGATATCCAACGGCTGATGAACTTTTCGTCCTTGGCCAGCAAAGCACCTCCTTTCCTGAGGGGTGCGTAGATGTTGACGACAGCCCCGCCATGCATGAGACTCGGAAGCTCCTTTTATAAGCGCGCAGGTAGGCCAGGCAGCATAGACACGCCGCCGGTCAAAAGGATGTTGCCCAGCTGCATGTGGAAACTGCCTCATGGCTTTGCTGAGTCAGATTGGGCTCTGCGCAAGACGCTTTGGGTCGCCGTCGAATGAGACCGAGGTCTTCACGACTCCAAAGAAGAAACTGTCGCAGGTGCCACGGTCTTGTCAGATAAAACGAGACAGAAGAAAGAACAGAAAAGAACACACAAAAGGAACAGTTGTTGTTGCTTGCACAAGTTGTTGTTGTGGGACTGGTTCGCCTTGCGCAAGGATTTGACATGCAGGTGGTGGTGACGTTGACATCGAAATACGGGCATGCTCACTGCTTTCGTCAACTGGTGCCCAGGTGAGCAGCGCCTTAGGCGTGGATTGGGTTATGGGCGGCGGGTCGGGCGGCAATGGCATGGGACGCGGTCCAGTCGGCGAGTGCGCCCTGATCGGGTGGGTGTTGACACGGCTGTGCCATCAGAATCATCGAAAAACTGGTTTCCCAAGGAGCAGCTGAGTGTGACGCGGTTGGCTGTGTGTGAGCGAAGAGGGGGCGAGTGGGGTGCAGGCCTATGCAGACGTTGCACGTGCTTGCGGCGGTTGTGCGTTTGGTCCACTGATTTCAAAAAGGCGAGCCTGAGCGACTTCACGCCCTGTCCTCTTACGTGTCACCACCCCTCCCCCCGCCCCCGCCCCCAAGTGAGCAGCGGTACGCGCAGTGGCGGCACACATTGCAACCCTTTCCTTTGCACACATCATGAACATCACAATCTTCTCACACACAGAGTGTACTCTCTCCTCGAACCACAAAAGAATGACAAGAGAGAGAGAGAGAGAGAGAGAGAGAGAGAGAGAGAGAGAGAGAGAGAGAGAGAGAGAGAGAGAGAGAGAGAGAGAGAGAGAGAGAGAGAGAGAGAGAGAGAGAGAGAGATGTGATTTTGGAGCGAAAAGACAAAAGAAAAATCCTCTTGTTCAAAGCTTGCGCGCGCTCTCTCTCTCTCTCTCTCTCTTTCTGTGTGTGTGTGCATTTCATTTGAGCGCTCGCGTGCTTGAGCTGTTGTGACCGTTTGAGGGAGAGAGACTCGCAGACATGGAGACGCTGGTCCGTGGTGCCGCGGTGGCACTGGTGGCTGCGATTGGATATGGGTTTTGTACCCAGGGTGACTTTAAGGACCAGTGCCAGGCGGCGCTCGGCGATGCCCGCACAACCATCAACGACCTGTTCGCCGGCTTTGAAGCTTGGCAGGTGAGTTTCAGTCAAAGGTCGCCCGGTTTGGAAGGCAGCCCTCGCCTGAACGCGTGGTTCCTGGTCTACAAGACCTCTTTTCTTCGAGCAGTGCACTTGCGCCCGCTCGTTCTCTCTCTCTCTCTCTCTCTCTTTCCTCTGTTCGAGGCACTGTGATCCAACCATGCTGCTCCGCCTCACTGAACCGCTGGCCTCCAACCGCCGTTATGGATAGATCATGGGCTTGACGGTGTGTGGATGCATCGTGCTCGACTTTATCATCAATCTCTTTTTCGGTCATGAGGAATCACTGTTCACCCGGACCAAAAAGGGCGTCTTCCGCTGTGCCCGCAAGATTCCCCTCGTTCAGAGGATGGTGCGTGGTCCGCTGGTCCTGCAGTGGGCCAAAACCTCACTCGCCCCGAGCTTGGCCTTGTCCAAGGCAGCCGACGTGCCTGCCCGGCATGCACACGCTCTCACATCAATCACCTTTCTCAGGTTGAGAAGGAGCTGTCCAAGACTCGTGCCGACTTTGAGAAGAGTCTCCTGCACAAGCATGCCCATCCCAACGTAATACTTCCCGCCCTCACATGCCTCCATTTTTTTTCCCCCATCACTGTCTGGGTCTCTGGCCCGCCGTTGCCTCTCTTGTCTGTGTGGCTGGCTGTCTCGAATGTGTCTCTCCATCTCTGTCTCTCACCTGGGACCAGTTTGTCATCTCATGTCTTGAAATCACCCTACCGCTGGCTTCGCCCCGCTTTCATTTTGCGTTTGCAGGGCATCACTGCCATGCCCAAGGAGGGCCGCAAGTGGGACGATCTCGAAAAGCTGCTCCAGGAGTATGCCAAAATTGGCGATCCGGACAAGCGTCGCGAGGAGGGCAAAGTCAGTTCCCCCCCCGCCCCCAGCACCAAACGACCCCTGTTTTCCATCCTCTCCAACGCATGATTCCACCCGCATGTCAGCTGTCGGCTAACAGCGCTTGCTGCGACTGCCTGTCACCAGGTGTCCGGTACCATCTACGTCGGTGACGATGACGTTGATACCTACACAGACATGATCTCCAAGACCTATGCCATGTTTGCCTGGACCAACCCGCTTCACCCTGGCGTCTTCCCCGGCGTCCGCCAAATGGAGGTCAGCACAGCTGCTTGTCTTGAGCAAAGGCTCACCAGTCCCCGACCCTCCGTTGCCCTCCTCATTCCTGACACGTCCACTCGGTGCGTCTTTCCACCTTCAGGCGGAGGTGGTGCGCATGGTCTGCGACATCTTCAACGGCGGCCCAACCGCCTGTGGCTCTGTCACTTCGGGTGGTACCGAGTCCATCTTGCTGGCCTGCAAGTCCTACCGTGACTACTATCACTCCGTTCGTGGCATCACCAACCCCAACATTGTCACTTGCACTACGGCCCACCCCGCCTTTGACAAGGCTTGCCAATACCTGGGCATCCACATTCGCAAGATCCCCATGGATCCCAAGACCTGCCGTGCTCGCCCCAGCGCCATGCGCCGCCACATTGACAGCAACACCATTGCCCTCGTTGGCTCTTGCCCTCAGGTCTGTACACACGCGCACTCGATGGTGAACCAAGGTTCATGTATACAAGCTTCATGTCCACGCCACAATGTTTATTTTATTTAGTTTATTTTATTTGTTTTTCTCTCCACTTTTGACGCCACTCACCTCCGGCTTTGTTTGTTTCGGCATGACCACGATTCGGTGTCCGCGGTGGTATAGTACCCCCATGGTTGTGTGGACCCTATTGAAGAGCTGGCTGCCATTGCCAAGAGCTATGGCATTGGTCTGCACGTCGACTGCTGCCTTGGCTCCTTTGTGGTTCCCTTCATGCGCAAGGCTGGCTTCGACTTCCCCTGTACGTCGGTGCCATCCTTGTCCAAGACACTGCTTCGCACGACTCGCCTTGCTGGCACTTGGTCGGCCTCCTGCAATTTCACCAAAAGCCCTACCACGTGCTTTAGCTTTTGACTTTACGGTGGACGGTGTCACCTCCATCTCAGCTGACACTCACAAGTTTGGCTACGCCCCCAAGGTACATCACGCCCCCAACCCCCTTTTGTTTTGTGCAGCAGGTTGAAGCGCCTCTCGGTTCTCATCCCCGCTGCCGATTCCGCTATTGCCCAGGGTTCCTCGGTCGTCATGTACTCTTTCCATGAGTTGCACCATGCCCAGTACTCAATGTTCCCGGACTGGCCCGGAGGTGTCTACGGTACCCCCACCATCGCTGGCTCACGTTCCGGTGCTCTCGTGGCGGTAAGCCTCTTCATCCTGCCAACTTGTGACTGAGCTGAGTGCTATGTGCATGAGCGCAGACCCCGTCTCGTTTGCTTGCCTTGACTTGTCTGTTATCATGGTGCTTGCGCAGGCTACCTGGGCTGCCCTGGTTCACCACGGTGAGGATGGCTATGTCAAGTGCACGCAAAAGATCATCAAGGCGGCCCGCGAAATCGCCGAAGGTATGCTGGCGTGTTCTTGCCTCTGGATTATACATGTTGCTGCAGTGCGTTGCCTGCTCTTCTCACTTCTCAAGCCAATGCCGTTGGGGTGTCTAGGTATCAAGAAGATCCCAGGCCTGCGCCTCATGTGTGAGCCGGACGGCCCTGTGGTTTCGTGGACCAGCGATGTTTTCGATGTGTACCGGTAAGTGGGTGGGCGTAAATGTATGCGTGGAGGCATGGGCGCTTAAAGGACATTTTGCTCATTCGCGCACAACCCGCAGCATGACGCACGGCCTGATTGAGGAGCATGGTTGGGATCTGAACGTCCTGCAGTTTCCGCCCAGCATCCACATTTGCGTGACTCTGGCACATACCCGTGAGGGCATCGTGGAAAGCTTCCTCAACGACATGGCCAAGGTTGCCGCGCCCCTATTCGCCAACCCCGGCGTCAAGGTCCGCTTGCAAACCCCCTGCTCGATTCGGTTTCCTTGTTCGACCATTTCCCTCCCTTGGTTGACTGTGCTTGCAGCATCGGACATTGTGCCAGCTCTAATTCTGCTCTCAACGCGTTCATTTCTTATAGGCGGAAGGTGGTGCCGCAGTCTACGGCATGGCCCAGTCCATCCCGGATCGCACCATCATTGAGGACGTGGTCAAGACCTACCTTGACACGACCTACTTGGTGCCTGCGTAAATTGGCTAGTGCCGTCTCACCACACCCAAGCGCCAGCAAGTTCATGTACTATGGTGTGAGCTACAGCCGAATGATAGAACTGGCTGTTTGCACTGGATTGTGGAAGGGGCGATTGGATAGTGCTTGTTTTGTTCTTTGCCACCACGACCTTGGTTGTTGGGGGTTTTGCTGAATCCTTTTCCGCTTTGTGTAAGAAGCATCTACTGTAAGAGGAATTGATTCAGTGCAGTGGTACATGACGTGGCGCTGAAGCAATCAATCGGTACTAGGTGCTTGTCGGCGAAGCTCGGCAATGTGACGCCGGCGCAACGGCAGACGGCAAGCAATCTGCAAGAGCTCGTTGACGGGCACGCACTCGAGTGCCATGCTGTTGCAATACTGCATCATCAAAGCCATGTCCTACAAAACGTCGAGTGAGGATGGCATGGTAATTTCGACCGGCCAAGCATCAACACGGCGAGGGTGAGTGCGGCCAACCTTGAAGCGTAACAGTTGGTCGCGGTTTAGGATGAAGAGAGCCAAAGCAACTCGGAAGATGAATTTGTCTCCCTCGAGCAACAAGGCATCCCAGATGCGAAGAAGTGTCTCGACAGGTACACAATCAACAAAAAGATTGACAAGCCTTGTGTCAAGGAAGCCAGGGTACAGTTGAGTGGCGTGAGCAAAGCGTGGGCGTGAACACGGCGCGAAGCCAGAGGGGCAACAACACGCAAAAAGCAGGGCGTTCCCACCATTTGAACGTAAAAAGGGTTGTGTCAACACCAGCGGCGTCAAAGTGTGCGGCCAGCTCGGGGTCGTGTTCTCTGCCGAAACGCAAACAAATAAGACTCATTGCCACGCAGGCCTGGGGTTCGTGTGGCAGCAAGGTCAGACAAACCTGAGGAGCTGACCAACTACCCAGCGGTCACGGCCAACGCCGGCCATGTCCGGTGTGTGATAGCCTACACAGTGGCCGTTCCTTGGTAAGTCTGAGCGCCGAGTCAGACGGGAACTGGGCAGGTGGCGGCCCACAAGGCCTACCGGGGGCCAAGCCATGTATGGCGTGGCAGAGGCACGAGAAGGCGTTGGCCTCGTCACGCACTACCAAGAGTAACATGCCTGCGATGTAGTTGAGACCCTAACCAGAGCACGGTAGGTTTTTGAGCAACAGATCAGACCATGTCGTGTGCTTCAGCAAAACTGTACGCAAACGATTGGTGGCTTGATACCTGACAGTAGCCCACGTTGGGGGCATGCAGACTCAGGGCTCGGAGCACACGCTGAAGAGGAGCAATTAAGCTACCCCCATTGCGAAATTGCTCGTGGTCTGGGAAGGTGCGATGAAGGTCGAGATCAATCTGCTCAAAGGCACGACGTGTGTCGGCAGCGTGGGCCTCCATGGAGTGCTGGACGACAAGCGTGTTGAGCTCGGCGTAGCGTGCTCGGAGGTCTGGAACCAAGGCCAACCAGATCTACGCAGTCAAAAGAATGAGACAACAGGGGTGTTCGCGACGATGGAGATAGGCTAGAGGCAAACAGGCAAAGATGGCGGAAGAAGGAGGTCGAGGCATAGGCATGGGAAGAAGGCAAGGAGCAGGATGCCACATTGGCACATTTTGTTGGCGTGGAGGGTAGCTTGTGGTCCCTGAGCTAGCCAACCGAGAGAATTGGCGCTCGTGGTACCCAAGGGCTCACCTCGGCACGGCGGCTATCGGGGATGCCCTTGCGAATGAACCGTTTCTGGCGGCGAAGGGGGAGCGGGTTGGTCAAGGAGAGAGGCGGTGGGGGCGCACTCATGTTGGTCTGATGCCAGCGTTGGGCACGGCGTGTGAGATAAGGCAGGTAGCCACGCATGTAGGCATCGTGTTGATGATGTAAGTCCTCGGAAGGCCAGTCGAATCCCAGCGGGGCTAGCCTGAAGAGGGCTCAAACGGCGTGAGGCATGGTGCAGCCCCCGCTGACCAAATATGAAAGGGGGGTGGCCCTCAACGCACTTGGAAGTTGGAGCTTGCGCTTGGCTGCCTGTGGGCTGGGAAGGCACAAACGAAGTCTGGGCCTAGCACACGGGGCCCCAGCGACGCTGATTCGTAAGCGACTCTCGGGTGAGTGAGGCGAGGCGCGAGACCCATCACGAGTGTTGACCGTACCCGTGCTTGAGTTCGCTGCTTAGCCGCAGCCCGTGCTGTGTGCGCCATGACGGCCACACCTGCAACCTACTCTTCAGTCCCCAGCAAATCGACCCAGTCCCTCCCACAACAACCCCCCAAACGCCACACACAGGCACAGGTACAGGCACGCTCATGCAGGTACCAGCGCAGCCCGATCGAGGGAGGCGGAGGCGGGGGTGGCACTCGAGATCACGTCGACTCGATTTGCAGATAAAATCTGACATTCATATTCAAAATCTAGGCGGCCATTTTTAACTTTCGAGAGGCGGTGCGTGTGATTGTTTTCGTGTTTTCCATATGCGTGCAGGCATGCAGTTTTGGTCAACGGCGCTGCGCTCGCGTACGCTATCGCGCCGATTGATCATCATCCATCACGCTCAAAACGCCATCCAACCATAGTGGATGTGGGGTAGGCGATGGTTGTGGCCTTTTAGAAATTCCGAGAGCACAAGTGGCTGGTGGCTTTTTGACATCGGACTTGCTTTTTTGGATGATTTTGCCGTGCCGACAATCTGGCGCGCGTGAAGCGAGACAGCAACAAGCCGGCCTTGTGTTTTGATTCTGGCAAGCTTGCCCTCAACCCTTTGCTATTATCGCCGTTGTGACCATTGGCTCGTAACGGCAGCCTCTCGCGCTGGACCTTGCGTGGTAGCTTGTCGCATGCGCCCGAGCTCACGTTCCAAAGGCGCGTGCCTGCCCCAGTCTACTGGGGTCGCCACGAGCAAGGAAGGGTGACTTACCCATAGCCTTTGTTTATTTTTGCCAAGAACACGCAAATGAAGCTTTGCAGCTTCCTCCGTCTGCGGCTTCCGTCGTCGCCATTGTTGTTGTGGCTGCTGCTGCTGTTGTGCGTCCCCGGGTCACAAGCAGAGAGTGGCGATGGGTCGATGGAACCATCAAGCTGCCCCGACAGCTCATTTGATGCTCTAATTGATTTGCTCAGCCCTGCACTCGTGTCCGGCGCCATCAATGCGAATGGGGATGGCAGTTTTACTTTTACGGGCGCGCAGGGCATCACCGCCGCACCCGTGCCACGCGTAGGCGCGACCTTTAGCTTGCACTTTGATGTCGCCTTGCAAAGGGACTCCTACGGTTACCTCTTTGCCAAGTCTCGAGGCAGCCTGCGCTTCTACGCCCTCTACTTCTCCGCCACGGCAAACAGCCTTTTCTTTTACTACGCCACCGACGCAAACGGCCCTCAACAAAGCGTCGCCGTTCCAGCCATCCTCAACGATGGCCAGCGACACCGAGTCCTCTTGACCCTCACCGACCTCACCTTGACCACACGTATCGATGACAGGGCTGAGCATACAACCCTCCTTGAAGCTCCCCCAGCTGATTGTGACATCGATACAGACGCCGACTGTCAATTCTACATTGGCCAGCGCGCCGATGACGGCGCCGCCACAGCCAGTGTCCTGGCCATGTCTGGAACTCTGTATCATTTCCAGCTGGCCCCTTGTCAGGCCCTCCTGGCTTTTCCCACTACCCTTGCTCGCAGTAGCAGCACCCCGGCCGTCACCCCAGATTTAGCCACCGGCTCGATCGACTCCACCCCAACTGTCACCCCCACGTTCTCACCAGACTACACGACGTCTCGCACCCCTTCACCAGGCTTGACATCAACCATGTCCAGCCGCACCCCAACCGTAACAACTGCAAGTCCCGGGCCCACTTCCATGTAGGTTTGACATTTTCGCCGGGCTTCTTCAGCCCTCGACAAATCAGCCGCCTGTGTGACCTTCAGTTTGTCTCGATGCACCTTTCATCATCTGACCTCCACCGCCACCTGTTTGCTCAATATTTCAGGCCTTTGGTTCAGGCCGTTATTGCCAACCCTTCTTTCGAGGACGATGACCTCACCTCGTCGGGCATCACCCTCGCGCTTGGCGCATCTGGTTGGGCCTTTGGAGGCAATCTCGTTGGAACACTACGGCCAACCAACGCCGACCTCGCGGTTCCCTTGACATCCCCAGCTGAGGGCGCCCAGGTGCTTCTGATACAAACCAGTTCCTTCGCTCATCAGATCTTGGAAGGCTTCCTCATTCCAGCCAAGGGCCCATTGACGCTCCGCTTTGCCGTGGCACACGTCCATCACGTCTCCGCGGCCGTTCTACACGCTCAACTGCGCGCTGTGGACGGATCCCGCCTTGACACCCTAGCTACTCGCAACATCTCCGAGGCAGAGGTTGAAGCAAATGGCGCTTTTACTGAATTCGCGCTCCAAGTTCCTGATGCCGCCTTGAGTGCCCACACAGGGCAGACATTACAGATTTACTTTAGTGCGACGGGCCCAGGCCAAGTCGTTCTTGATAACGTACAGGTCACTTCCCCACCCTTTGAAAGCACCAGCACGGTCCCAATGCAAAGTCCAGATACGCCCCAGTCCACGTCTGCGACCTCAACAACAGCTACGGCAACCACAACCACCCACTTTGAAACAACAACAACAACAGAAGACATGGCTTTGAACGTTTCAGTGCCCATGCTCAACCCATCCTTTGAGGTGGACGATGCCCTTGCTCTGGGAGGTCGGTCCGTGCCCGGCGCAACGGGCTGGGTGCTGGTTTTTGGCAGCATTGAGACCCGCGCGCCACTCGAGAGCGAATACGCGATGATCCATTCCCCTGCACACGGGGCACAAGTGCTTGTCCTCCAAGGCAACTCGGCCGTGCAACAAGACGTGGCGGACGTACGTCTTGACATCAACGACACGCTGACCCTCAGCCTTGCTCTAGGCATTCGTGCCACTGCCCTCGCCATTCCACCAGTGCAAATCATACTGCGCTATCATTCGGGCGCCGTGCTGGCGAGCACCGTCATGACAGCTTCCAACTTCCCGTCTACCGGTCGCTTCTACCCAGTTTCTCTGGTTGGACTGGTCGGTGAGGCAGGGCAGGACCAAGGGGTGACCGTGGAGATTGTGACCCTTGCGCCGGTTAGCATTGATGTAGATAACATTGCCCTGACCTTACAACGGCCTCAATCCCATTTCCCAACTAGCGCTGATACCTCGACCACCATCACCAGCACGCGCACTTCAACCTCGCTGCCCGCCAGCTCCCATGGACCAGAAACAGAGACCACGACGCTTGTCACGACGGCGGCGGCCACCCAATCGTCAGCCTCAGCCACAACCTCAGAGTTTGGTACTGGGCACCCAAATTGCATCAATGGCAGCTTGCAAGGAGATGGCACAAACTACCGCGGAACCGTACATCAAACTGCCAATGGGCACACTTGCCAAGCTTGGTCTGCCCAGAGTCCGCATGCGCATAATTTCTTTCCCAGCCGCTTTCCCACGGCCGGGCTAGATGCCAATTATTGCCGCAACCCGGATGGCAGTGCCACTCCGTGGTGTTTTACAACAGATCCCGACGTGCAATGGGCGCCTTGTGCCATTTGTGCTCATGAGCTGATGGCCACCTCAACCCTCGCATCGACAACAACGACAACAACCCCGGTGACAACCACAACATCATCACCGGCCAGCACGACCCCCGATGAGTATGTCTACACAAGCTGTCAGCACGGGCTGCTGATCGGAGACGGCAGCGATTACCGCGGTACACAATCTCGGACACGAGATGGCGATGTGTGTCAAGCATGGGGTGTGCAAACCCCGCACACGCACGCCTACAGTCCGGTCCGATTTCCCCAGGCCGACTTGACCAGCAACTTTTGTCGCAACCCTGATGAAAGTGAGGCACCGTGGTGCTTCACGGTCAATCCGGACGTTCAGTGGGCATATTGCAATGTGTGCGGCGCAGGTCCTGTGGGCCACGAATCGACGTCCAACCCACTTGAAACGACGTCTTCTGCCTCCTCGGCATCTGAAACTTCGCAGCCTGCAACGTCCACCAGCGCGCCTCTGGTTTGTCACCCGCAAGTCAATCTGCTTTCCACGCTGGGAGTAGCTGGCCCACTGAGTCTAGCTGGCAGCCAAGCCGCAGCTGTGGGGTCCAGCCCAGGCTTTGACTCTACCAATTTTGCGCTCGTGCTCAGCCTGGCATTGCCTGATACCAATACTACCGGTTACGCTTGGTCCTTTGTTAAGAATGGCCAACCCCTACTTCGCCTCAGTTACAATGGTCAAGCACAGCACTTGCTGATTCAGTACACCACCATCAACTCCATGTCTGTGCGCGAAGTCTCGTTTGATGTGCATGGCCGCCTTGCCGACGGGCAACGTCACTTATTGACGCTAAGCTTCCAGACCATCATCGTCCGCGCCACTTTAGACGGCCAGGCGTTGCCGAGTCGTCTTTTGTACAACCTCTTACCGTCATGTTCACAGGGGGATGTGTGCACGCTGGTCTTGGGTGTTACCAACACAACTGGCCTCCACGGCCTAGCAGCCCACCTGCACTCATTTCGTTTGATGCCCTGTGACTATGTTCCCATTTTGACCACTTCATCACCCACACCCACAACTTTGGAAAGCACGAGTCTGGACACGACCATGACGGCTCACACGACAAGTAGTGATCATCCCACACACGATACGACGTCTCTTCCGGCAACCACCACAACCATGTTGACAACTACCCCTTCTACGACTCGTACAACTACCACCGCAGCAGAAACAACTATCACGGCCACCACCGCAACAACATCAACAACAACATCAGCATCATCTTCATCATCAACAACAACAACAACCTTCATATCTGGCGACTCTTGTCAAGGTCTGTGTGGTGCAGTGTTTTCCCGGGACGCCTCATGCTTTTGCGACGGGCAATTTTGCCTAGTGCTGGGAGATTGCTGCCAGGACTTTCTGGATGTGTGCGCCGAGCCCGCATCTTCGAGCACACCGCCCGCCACAACCTTGATCGACTCCAACACCCCAGGCACGACGACGGCCGCTACCACCGTACAAGCTACCTCAACCACCACACAGAGTACATCATGCTTGGATCGCTGCCATACAATTCAGGTCGATGGGGCAACCTGTCAATGCGATGTAAGCTGTACAACGGTGGGAGATTGCTGCGCCGACTACAACGACCTATGCACCCCGACCACCGCCACCTCAACCACGTTCATGCCGACCGTCACCACGCCAACATCAGCAAGCACCACAACCTCCGCACCTGGCATGAGCTTGTGCGAGCAAGATCCTTTAGCCTTTGTAGACTTCCTTTCCGCCTCTACGACACCAACATTGGAGCAAAGACCCGACGGCGCGCTTGATTTGAACGGAACGCAGGCCGTTGAGCTAGATCATGGCCCTCCCGTGACTGAGCGCTTTGCACTTGCATTGCAAGTGCGCTTTCGTTCCGCAACGAGCGAAGACCTGCTCTTCAAAACAAACGGAAATGCTAGTATAGTCTACTATGGTCTGCGCTACAACGCCGTGTCTAACGCGGTTGACTTTTTGTACCGCTCCCTATCCAACGTCGCCAACCCGGCCACCTTTATTGGCCGTTTTGCGCTTGGCAGCCACACGGTGACTGATGGCCAAGTGCACACCTTGGTCCTTGATGTGGATGAGGCTGTTGCCGTACTTATGGTCGATGACGTGCCGATTGGCGGTTTGGGCTTAACACTGGGCGCCGACGGTCAGGTCCAAGACTGTGGCGACTCGAATGAAAATTGCCGGCTGAGTCTTGGTGGTCGAGTGATGGGGGGCACGCCATTCAACGGTATCATTTACGGAGCGCGGTTGTATCCGTGTGCTGTTCTTGAAACCGCGCCATTTGCGCCTGTCACCGTGGCCCCGTCCTCCAGCTCAAGTTTCCGAACCACCATTGATGAGCCCGTGACCACTGCAACTTTGGACGTGACAACAATCTTCGTGACCACATCAGAGCCGATTGGTGAGATAACAACGAGTACATCCGTGCCGGCATCCGTATCTTCGACCTCCACTTCTGCCGTTACGCCCACCACGCCCACCACAACCAGCAGCACGACGGTGGAGTCATGGATCCCAATACCCTTGGTCAATGCGGACTTTCGCGCAAACGCAGTCGGTCCCGGTGGCATGCCCGTGGCCGATGTGTCTGGTTGGGATTTGGTCGGCTCGGTGGTAACAAGTCGACCAACGCAGGCTGGCTTCCCCGGAACCAATTCAGAGCTTCAGGTTATGTCCATGGCAAACGGGAGTCAAGCTACACAGGTTGTGCCCACGTCCATTTTTGTGCTGAGTGCTACCGATATACTGCGCCTTGAAATCGTGGTGGGCCGACGCCTGGATGCTCAAGACTTTCCGACTTTACACGTTCGATTGCGTTCATCTAATTCGGGCCTCGAGCTCCTGACCCTAACTGTGGCCGCCGATATGCTAGAGGCCGGTGAGTTGACGGCCATGCTGGTCGAATCGCAGCTCAGCGCTGCGCGCCTGACCGCAGGTGAGGGCGTGACGCTTGCCTTAGCAGCTCAAGGCCTGGGCCAAGCCCATGTGTCCTCAGTCGCGTTGTACTTGCAAAGAAATCCCGATGCCTCAACCATTGACCCGATGACCAGCGCAGCGAGCTCTACCTCCACTTCAGCCTCAACCTCTACTTCCACTTTCACCTCTACTTCCACTTCCACCTCTACTTCCATCTCTACCTCTACCTCTACCTCTACCTCTATCTCTACCTCTACCTCGTCTTCGACCTCTACTTCCACCTCTACCTCTTCTTCTACTTCCACCTCGACCTCAACATCTACCTCAACATCTACCTCTTCTTCTACTTCCACCTCTACTTCTACTTCCACCTCTACCTCAACCTCTACCTCAACCTCTACCTCGTCTTCAACCTCATCCGCTTCTTCGACTTCAACCTCTACTTCCACCTCGACCTCTTCTTCTACTTCCACTTCTACTTCCACCTC